CTTTTGGATTATGACTAATATCTCAAAATAACGCTTAACCTCGCTAATCATTTATTAGAATTTAGTAAGTCAATGAGTCAGTGACGTTTGAGAGTGATGTTTCCGAAAAAGAGTTAGAACCAAATGGTAATTTTACTTGCAGCTGCAAACACATCGAAATTTTACTCTTATGGATGTGGTTCCTCCAGCTTATGAGTCGTACGAATTTGTGGAGGAAATGCATTTCCATCAAGAAAAAAGAAAACAGAGCGTGCTTCTCGTTCCACTGCCCACTCATACTCTACCACTTCATTACGATCTTCATGTAAGAAACCTCCACTTCTAGTACTTCGTACTACTTGGGGCGCTCAAGAGTGCTCGTGCCTGAACGAATATAACTAAATAAAGATAGGTATAGATTCACACAAGTCTAATATGAATCGTGGCACATTATTGTGTATAGGAAATTCGCAAGATTTCCAAAAATGATTTTGGATACCTGACTTTTTGTCTTCATAGTAACGTAAATTGTTTAAAAAAAACCAACTCCTTAGTACTATGAAGAAAGGACTAAAGAAAGATAATATAAGGGATAAAGTTTTCTGCCTTGATCAATCCCTGAGGAATGCGCGTCATGCATTAGTCTTCATTTTTAACTTCGTTTGAGGTGATTGACTGCATATCTGACCTTTACGATGACTTACAGAGATCTTCCGCTGTTTCGAGTCAGTGCTGTTTATCCTCCCAGACAAATCTGAGACCAGTCTGGGACCAATTTACCGACCTCGGAGGGATGGATAGCTTGGTAGCCATGAGTGTAATATCTAACCATTGACCACGTGTGCGACGTAGAGCTTCTCTAACCACTGCGCCACGTGGATTCCTAATCGGTAGTTCAAGTCAAGTGAATTTCAATGGCATGTTTGATTTCTCAAATAGCTTATTTTTGGCGCCGTGTCAGTCAAAACAATATTTTGTCTCTCATTCGAAGGTTTCTCACTGGATAAAAATTTTGATTTAACGAACTATCAATCGCTAGATAGAAAAAGACCTTCTAGAAGAAAAAAAATGAAGAAAAAAATGAGCACTTCTAGTCGGGTAGGGTGCGAATTGCAGAGCTCTCGAAAGCTTTTTCTTAAGAGCAAACACATTATAATCAGAAAGATTTGCTCTATCTCATGGTTGAAATTTTCTTATAAAAACTTTTGTCAGACGAGAAGTCTTTAAATGTGAAACAAAATCTCATTTTGACTGGTACGGCGTTATAAACAAGCAACATGAGAATTAAAATATATTTTTGAAATTAATTTGGTTTAAACTATCCGATCATCATACATTCCTTAGATAATAGCAAAGAATACCTTTTTACCGGAAGCCTCAAGTGGTGCCGCCATAGAACAGTACTAAAAATGCGGCAGGATTCTAAAAAAGGAACCTTTAGCATTGTTCGAGAAGCTAACGTTTTCTTTTTGAGCATATGCCATGTTGCGGCAACAAGACTTTCATTATATTATAGATATGGCTCATTTCCCTTTTTTCTTCAAAGTAACTTGACTTGTTAACGTGGACTAATGGACTAACGCAGGCAGTTTCAGCTAGATTTGACAAATGTCGCAGTGAAACTGATTCGAGGAAGCCTGACGGCTCACTTGGAAGTGTTTGGTAACTCAACAGACGACGAAATTCTTTTTCATATTGGCCCTCGAGTTGCTATCGATAGAATACGTCTGAGAAGGGAAGGTAAATAAATGCAAACAAACGAAATCATTTCGAAACAAATTCGTGATTGCTTTAAGGGAAAAGAGTGTATCCGAAAACCCTGAGAATTGAAGATATGAAGAAATTGGCCAGAGTAGTGCTCAAGGAACGACTGATGAGAGGAAGGTGTGTTTGGGGAATTCTTGGCACTGTTTCGACTAGCTGCTTGGAGAAAATCTTGCATAGAGGTGCTGAGTTATCCCACTTAAATCGTTCCAGATATCTTTTGGAGATTGACTATAACACCACAATATGCGGCGAGGAGGGCGGAGTTCACTGTTACTATGAAATGGATGCGGTAGGCTTCGTTTTGCTGAATTTTCTTCGCGAGCAGTTGTAAACAGAATTGCTATTGCTGAGCTTCTAAAGTCATGATCTTGGCGGCTGAGTTGTTGATTATTGCTATAGAAAAATGTGGGAAAATTGGAATGTAAAGAGTCTCTTTTTAGTAAACAATAAATAGAATAATATCTTCTCACAAGAAAGAAGCTGAGAGGTGTGGCATCACTCTATCTTCGATTTGGCCTACAGCCTCAGCCATTTTGTGGCAAAGTTTACACTCGTTGCTAGGAGGTTTTTAGAAAATAAAGATGACCGGCACAAAAGTATATTCAAAAAAAGATTTGTACTGGCAACGTGTACATAAGAGGTGTTCACGAGAAAAGGATGTTTTGAACTCATTCTTGCTCGGTTGTCTCATTAGAACATGAGAATGCTCTGCACCAGTCGATTTCATTTTTTGCTGGATTTGCATGTATAGGTGTTCAAGAAAAGGAAAAGAAATTTTCATTAACTCATTGCGGATCAATTAATCACAACGCGATTGGTCATCGCTTTGAATTCAGTATTATCTAGTAAGTAGTAAAGACGCGGCAAACTAGTTTTTTGAGACTACCGTTACATTTTCCAGCCACGAAATAGCAGAAGGGTCTGCTAACAGCTTATGAGGGTCAAAAAGTAGTTGTAAAGGGCTATAGTGAATTTACCACTGTACTGGAAATAGTGCGCACTATCGGCGAAGGGTTACTATACCGATTTCACGGATATTTTGTACATGCAATTCAATCCTTCAATGATTTTCTCGAATTTTTTTCGTAAAATATCGACAGCGCACTTCATTACAGGCCAATCACACCATAGTGACCTCGTTCACCACGAAATTTGAGCCAACCTTTGCCAGGTCATTTGTGCCTTGCTGGGACGATCCTGGAATTAAGGTGCGACGTTATCCAGCACATTACATTATTAGTATTTTTCACCGTAATCTTACAAATGGCCCTAGTCAATCGTTTGATCAGTCTATTTCACCAAAAAGTCGCATAGCAAGGCTAACCAGCAAAAATTCGTGGTGCTCGAAAGGCGATAAGAAGAAGTGATTGTGATTTAGCCAAACCCCTCGCTACGAAACAATCATCTCAAAAGTTTTTTGGTATTTTTTCGTTATCAGACACACAGTTTCGACCTTTCGGAAACACTGAATTTCCTACTTTTTTACAGTGATGGCGCAAATGTGCTTCCAGTGGTGTAGTGGTAGAGCACGCGTCCCCGGATAGGATGAAACGCGTGTTCGATTCCCGCCTAAGGCCGTGTTTTTGCTCACCACTGAATTCTCTTGGGAGTGTATGAAAATCACAACACTGCGAAAAAGGCAGTGAAAACACCAGAAATATACACTCCTCATATATAGTTATCGACGACCTACGCTTTACACTCTATGTCAGGTGTCTATGTCATTCACCTAACACAGAGTGTTTTCGCACTCGATTGCTAGCTGGCTGGTATTTTATCATATTATTATATATTATATTATTATTATTATATTATATATTATATTATTATATTAATATTATATATAATATAATTATTATTATATTATATAATAATATTAATATATTATTAATAATATAAATATATATTATATTATATTATGTATTATATTATATATATTATATATATTATATATTATATATATATTATTATTATTATATTATTATTATTATTATTATTATTATTATATTATATTATTATTATTATACTATATTATATTATATTATATTATATATATTATTTATTATATTAATATATTATTATTTTTATTATTTAATTATTATTATTATATTATTATTACTATTATTATTATTATATTATTATATTATATTATTATATTATTATTATTTATTATTATTATTATTGCTATTATTATATTATTACTATTATTATTATATTATTACTATTATTATTATATTATTATTATATTATTATTATATTATTATTATATTATTATTATTATATCATTATTATTATTATACTATTATTATTATTATTTATTATTATATTATTATTATATTATTATTATTATTATATTATTATTATTATTATTATTATTATTTATTATTATTATTATATTATTTTATTATTATTTTTTTTATATTATTTTATCATGGTATTTTTTTTATTTATTTATTTATTTTTTTTATTTTATTTTATGTTGGCTCAAATAATAATGAAAGGATCTATTGAAATTTGAGCGTGGTCTTAATAAAGCACTCGAAGGAAAGGTATAATATGATAAAATACCAGCCAGCTAGCAATCGAGTGCGAAAACACTGTGTTAGGTGAATGACATAGACACCTGACATAGAGTGTAAAGCGTAGGTCGTCGATAACTATATATGAGGAGTGTGACGCTCCCAAGAGAACTGACTATGAAAAGATCGACAGACGACGGGTTCTGCCCGGCTGATGAGTCTGTAAGGACGAAACACGTGTCTCGGGCTGTACAAGAGCCTTTACCAGACCACATGACATGTTGGCTCAAATAATAATGAAAGGATCTATTAAGTGAACCATTTGAATTGCCTAAGCTATTTAAAGAATATTAAAAGTTCAGGGAAAAAGCTCTGTCCAGCGAAAACTGCGTCGAAACCCGTCGACTGTAAAACATATGTGTTTTAACTACTACAGCTCAATAAGAAATATACCTAAAAGAATTGAATGGTGAGCAAAAATGCGACCTCAGACGGGAGTCGAACCCGCATTTCACCATTTCGGAGAGCATTTTTTTCTCCTAGGTATATTTGAAACATCATAACACTGCGAAATAGGTAACAAAAACACTGGAAATCTTGAGTATTACTTATCACAGTGGCTGTCAGCTCAACTTGGTTTGTGAAGCGAAGTCGCATTACTCGACCAAAACTGTTGAAGGTTAGCGGCTGACAGCAGTCACGGAGATATTGAAGAATGAGGGTTGGCGGAAATGTACCTCGGTGGTGTAGTGGTAGCATGCGTCCCCGGTATGGATGAAGCGCGGGTGCGACTCCCGCCTGGGTCGTATTTTTGCTCACCACTGAATTCTCTTGGGAGTGTATGAAAATCACAACACTGCGAAAAAGGCAGTGAAAACACCACAAATCTTGAGTTTTGCTTTTCAATAAAGGAACTATTCACAAAAAAATAAAGCATTAAAATTGTCGAGATTCGAGCTACCGACTGAATACTGAAACTTTGTAAAAAAGAGGAAAATGCGCTTCCCTGAGAGGATTGAAAATGTGTGCCCATAACGGAAAAGTAATAGTTTTTTTTTTATTTGCAAATTTTCACGTTCGTTCAACTTAGGCCACCTTTAACATCTCCGTGCTGCATCCTTCAAGATTTATCGTACTCTCCAACATGCCGCGAAGTGGGGAAAGAAGAAAATCTGATGGTACAACCACAACCACATTTCAAGAGACTCCACCAATGTCCACGTATCTGCTTGCACTTGCCATGGGTAAGCAACAATGATATAGTATCCATTTGAACTCACGTACGTAATTTAAGTGGGTTTAGGAGAACTAGTACCACTGGAGGTACGGACGGAGAGGAATCTACCTCTTGCTATCTGGACCCATCCTGAAGACTTTTTGTACGCTCGATTTGCTGCGAATTTTTCTCCTGTAATATTTGACAGACTCGAAGAAGAATTAGAGGTTGGAGTATCTTTTTTACAACATTGTCCAACAAACAATCAACAACTCGTCCTCTCACACTCATTTCTATACTAAATCGAATGAAACCATAGAAATCTATTGATTATGCGAGAAATAACCTCTATTAAACTGTTTCTGAGGGTGAGTAGGATGCAACAAAGGGATCCATGGGACCAGTATTCATATAAATGATAGAATCAACGGCCATTGATAGGCAATCGACAACGTCCAAGAAGGTTGTCGCAGAAGTTCTCCGCTTGCTTATGTAGCTCAAAGGCGGGCTGTATGCGCTCGAGTATTGTATATGTATATTAGAAAGTGGGATAGAGGAATCTTTGTTGGAAAACCAATTATCGTTAGCTAAAACTTATACTCAGACTCACAATCACACTCACTCCCACCCACTCACAGTCAACCACCCATCCACCTAAATAGACATATAGACCCAAACACATACACATATACCATGCATACATACATACACACATACACATGCACACACACTCACACACACGTGCACGCCAGATTCAAAGCCCACTTCAACACAAATGCTCGAAAAAATATATGAATTGGTAGTCGTAGATATTTTTTTCATGAATATCGTTGATTAGCATTGGTAAGCAACTCTGCCTGAACCAGGGCGTTAATAATCGTGCTGGGGCGTTCCCAGCTCATCACGGGAGGCATTTGTCGGCCTTTGCTAGCTGGAACTGTGTTTTAGCAGGCAAACATTATACTGATCTCCAAGCTATGAAGGCGGCAGTGCAGATAAATGCAGTTTCATAACCCTATCAAACAAATATAGGTGCCATATGCGTTACCGAAAATGGATTTCATCGCTGCGCGTAGTTTTCCAGTGGGTGGAATGGAGAACTGGGGACTCATCGCCTTTGACAAACAGTCACTACTTCTAGACTCCATCCTCGAAGGTTTGCCCTTGAGCTTTTTCCTATGGACAGAATATTTCTGAGATTTTCGTCTTTGTTTTCAGATAGTCTTAATATGACAGTCGATCGCCTCTACCACGAATACCGTATCAAAAAAATTATCACTCATGAAATTGCTCATCAGTGGTATGTATAATATCAAATTTCCTTGTTTTACCAGCATTCAAACTGCCCTGAAATATAAAGCAGCACTTTTCAAATAGGTTCGGAAATTTGGTGACTATGCGTGACTGGTCAGATTTATGGCTGAACGAAGGGTTCGCAACATATATGGTTTACCATCTTCTCCAACAGGAGCATCCTAAATTAGTAGAGAACGAGTATACTACTCGCTTATATCAACTTGTACGGAAACAGGTGAGAGCAACTTCTAGTAAAAAAGAGACTACCAAGGCTATTGTTCAAGGTCACTTACGAAGTGATAAAATTGATCATTACCACTGATCAGTTCCTACCATACAGGACTTTTGGACAGTTTGATAGAGTAAACGATTCTACAGAATATATTTCATAGAATTTCGCAAAGTTACAATATTACAACAAAATCAATATTGCAGTCAACGATGGACCATCCTGCATTGGTCCGTCCACTGACGACCGAGATAGAGGTTGAACAGTCATTCCACGGAACGCATCTTTACACTAAGGGCTCGGTGATGGTGAACATGATTCGTGATCTTGTGGGAGACGTCGAATTCCACGCTGGAGTATGCAGGTAGCCCATAACTACTTAATACATATTGAAAATATTTCCTTTTCATTTGCTACCATGATTCATCCTATATTTCGTTTAAACTCTTCTCTTACACACCTGATTAGATAATATGGCCTCATTTACTAATAGTGCAAGCTGTAAAGTAATTGATACTGCTTTTTCGTCCTTCAACCGTCATCAACAATGATGACCTGCTGCAAACATGGTTACTACTTCGGAACTTATTCCATTTTCGCGAAATCGTTTCCATCGAGGGATATAGATGGCCGACGTCCGCCGCATACACGGTTTCATCGTTCGTTATCGTTTGATTGGTCGTCAAAGAGGACGCTTGCATCAACTGTTATCTGTTCTCCTTATTTATGTGAGCAACCCATTTGTCTCCCGATATCGATGTATATCCCTTTGTGTTCAGAAATGAATAGTTTCCAAAAATCTTAGCTATACATTTTGATCATACACTGCTAGCACCACTAAGATTTTGGAAGGCTTGGTTCAGGCGCTTGCGCTTGACGCGCAAAATTTCTGACGTGTTAGAATGTTAGATCACGTCTCTGCTGTATAACAGAATGCAGGGAGGACTGTTGAATAGAAAGAGTGAGCACGATGTTCTGGGCTGGTTAGTTGGTAGCCGACGTCCTTGCTAGGTCGAAATGGAGGCCATGCTGATTTCTTTTCTGTCTAATTCCTTCTTCATGTTGTTTTCTAAAGTTATTAAACGTCCAAAGACATATGTGGTGTGATCTCTGCCATTAGAGAACGATCCAATTCGATTTGCTCACATTCACACTACAATTATTCATGCGCCGGGTTTTTATCCTATTTATACGTAATCCACCCCTTTTCCCGATTAATTCACTTGAAAGAACACCGTTAGTGGTTCTCTGTTACTCTTTAGAATGAAGGCAGTGTCATCCGAAGAACCAAAGTTCAATAGGAATTTTCCATCACTACGTGTTCCTTTCCTTTTCAATCGCCTAACTGTATTATCCACTGAGGGCGATATTGTGTCGCTTTGTTTAATATCTATTTCTCTGATGATGCGTGGATAAAGAAGCTGCATTTCTGTGCTGCCGCGGTTTCGACAGCAGTTAGGTAGTGTCCATATGGAACGAGGCGACACCTTGCTCGACGAGGGTTCATAGTGCACTTTTTCGATACTGTCAAAGCCTTGGTGTAATCGATAAAGGTTAGGACATAAGACAGAATATCCAGGAACTTCAATATGCTCAAAAGGATAATGTTCATAATTTCATAGGGGGCTTGTAGAGTTCACACACTGAGCATATCGGAGGCTAGGTGCAAAAAATAGTGCGGCCACCTTTCTTCATCCGCATTAGTGTGCGCGACACTCGTTACTGGCCTCCTTCTGAAGGTAACATGTCGTATGGCTTGGAGAGGCACTTGCAGAATCTGCTTTCTATCTTTGAAGGAGTCAATAGTAATATTATATGGTTCTCGAGATGTATCTTTTCCACTTTTTCTATCCCGAGTTACCTTTTAGAAGGTAGGATTCTGAAGAACTATTTCCCTGTAACCACATAGGGGTATGGTATGAGATTTTCTGATGTAACCAATTGATGAGAAGTTTTTTGATACCATTTCCATACTACTATAAGATAAAGTAATGGTTTCATCATCGTCCATAGATGAATGACGAAATTACAGTTGCAAAGATCCCGACGGCATTTCTACATATTGGATGGTTTCTGAGGATTTCGGCCGTTGGCCGAGAGTTTGTGATGCTGGTCGCGATGCGGGGTTCACCACCGACACTCTCCAGCACTCAACAATGGACGCCCTTTGAAACGCCATAGCCAGACTATCCACGAGATTGCAAGGATTTGTGCTCAACTAGTATTCTACGACCTTCAAGAAGAAGAATAAAAAACGAAATGAGTGTTAGAGGCACTAAGAGCTCGTAATGCATCCTACACATCAAAACAACAGTCTTATATACCGACTAATGTCACGGGTGATCACGAGGCATTCCTCCTGCGGTTAGTTGGATTGGTCGTATTAATCCAAAACGCTTTCAAAATCTTTCCCGCTGTTTCATATTCCCGCGCAAAGATGGTGACACCAATGTCAAAATCTACTCCGTCATGTTTCCGTGCTCTATGTGCCCCTAGCGGCGTGCTTCATCTGTTATGACGCTTGTTAGCTGGGAGTTCTTCTATGCGGGCATAGAGCGGCCTACCCGTTTCGCCAATATATTCATCGCTACACGCTTTGCAAGAGATAAGTAGACTGTACCTACGCTCTTGCAATCACCGTCTCTGCCGTTAGGTTATATTCTACATGTTTAATTATACAGAGACAGTCGTATGAGAGGTTACGAAGTACTTGGCGCCTTATAGTATTCGGTGGTATTTCAATGATAGTTACCGATTGCTTTGAACCTGCTCTTTTCAAACAAAATTTTATAGCTGTACTTACCTCTTTTGAAAAGAACATGAGGATAAACGGGATTTTCCTCTCATTTAAATTTTCGTTTGGAGGCGTGTTATTTCCGCGAAATCTAAGCCGAGCGGTTACAAATTCGTATCCATTAGAAGTGGTTATTTCGCGAGCCAGTCTCAAGGATTCTATTCTCTGCTCCTCCCCGGTACACGCATTGGCGGCTGTTCGAAACATGTTTTTTATTAACGCCTTTTTCGTATGTGAGGGATGAGAAGAGGGATAGTGAACCAGGATATACTT